TTTGCATACTTGTTCAGAACATCTGCGACTTTAGGTTTACAAGGCTTTTCAGGACTTTGTACATTGTACAACACCCTTTTCCCACAGTATCTCTCTTCTCTTTGATTCTTCACCTCCCTCAAGAAAATATTTCATTCAGACCTTTGAACATACAGGGGATGCTTTGTGATCATGGGCTGAAATGTCCGGGCCCTGTCACAGACCGAGGCTGCCAAACAGGATGGACCATTGCACGGCATACTGAGAAAGCTTATTTTGAGGTTGCTCATGTTGATGATATTCATGTGATGTTTTGTGAAATTCTTACCACACAGCTTATCATCTCTCCTCAGCAGACTTTCCATCCTCTTCAAGGCTGGTTTTTGCATCGTTATCTATGAGCATTTCTTACAGGGCGGAGTAAAGAGTAAAACCCTAGAAGTTATCATTGATCTGAATTACAGCGATGAGACGTAAAGAAAGAGTCCTACTCTTTCTTACCAATTGTTCATGATGGCAGCAACTAAGATCTAGTACCACGATATTAGTATTCGTCTAATTTGGGATAACAGATTTCTCTTTTTATGTTTCATGTTGCTTACACTTGAAGATTGCATCATGAGGCCATGCTGCATCCCTGGTGCAAACACAGTATGAGAAGCGCCCTCTCCTGTGGAAAGGTTAATTGTGCAGGGAAAAGAAGGAGTGCTGCGGGCTGCAAACCACCCCAGGAGGGACTAGAAGAGATGGAGAGGACTGGTAGGTATCACATCCTCGTCTCTAGACACTAGTTGCAGAAGACATGCTGGGAGATCCTGCTTTGGGGATGCTGCCACCCGTATGCTTCCCTGCACACTGAAGAGGTTAAAAAAATGACTGCATCTCTTTGATCCCCCTGCCTTTATTTGCTACCTTTAGTTGTGCTGGTTTGAAAATAAGACAGCTCTTCCAATCTGTGAGGCAACTTTGGCATCATTTCACTATACAGATGATGTTTCCTAAAAGACCTATCCCACAGTGTGACCTCTAGGATGACAACATGCTCATGAAGGAATCACAGAATTACAGAATTTTTGGAGTTGGAAGGGACCTCTAGAGATCATCTAGTCCAACTCCCCTGCTAAAGCAGGATTGCCCAGAGCGCATTACTCAGGACTGCATCCAGGCGGGTTTTGAAAATCTCCAGAGAAGGAGACTCCACAACCTCCCTGGGCAGCCTGTGCCCGTGCTCTGTCACCCTGACTGTAAAGAAGTTTTTCCGTGTGTTGGAACAGAACTTCCTATGTTCCAACTTGTGCCCATTGCCCCTCGTCCTGTCACTGGGAACCACCGAGAAGAGTCTGCCTCCATCCTCCTTCAACCCACCCTTTAGATATTTGTAAGTAGTAATAAGGTCTCCGGCTCCCCTCAGCCTTCTTTTCTCCAGGCTAAAGAGTCCCAGCTCTCTCAGCCTTTCCCCATAAGGGAGATGCTCCAATCCCTCAATCATCTTGGTTGCCCTTCGCTGGACTCTCTCCAGCAGCTCACTGTCCCAAAGCTATTAGATTGTGGACGTTTTCAAAAGCCTGGTTTGGAGTTAGGTTGCATCACTCACTACCCAACAGAAATTCATCATTGGGTTGTACGTGATAGCAGGGACTAAATTGGACTAGCTACAGGGTCACCAACTGCAGATGAAACTTTTTCATGCATAGAGAGTCTAAGTTCATCCATATCTGGTTTTGCTTGTTTTGTATAACTATCCTCTTGAAGCAAAATTTAATACTGAACATGAAAGCATTTCTTAGACAGGAAAAGAGTTTTGTAAGTGAGTTACCCCAAACAATTACTTAAAAAATGCAGTCTTTAGAAATAACTTAAAATTTATGAATAAAAACCCAAATCAGATATATTGTCCGCAAAAACTAGTTTCGCCAACTCTAGTTCATCACCTGAAATTATTCACTTCATGCTTCGCAGTCATACTTAAAATAATCAGCAATCCACTTATCTCCCAAGTACATTATGAATGTCTGAGACACATGTAAAAATAAAATCATGTCTTATTTATTCAGTAGCCCACTCTTTAAGTCAAATTATGAAAGTTACACCTGAGTAAGTGCTGAATACAAAAAGAGTTAAATATTTGAATCTCGCCCCCGTTACACTGGTGAGCGACTTACCGGCTCTGAGCCATACATGTGGAGACCTGGCCGTCCAGAGATCAAATTGAGAAGCATGGCCTAAGTTTGGTTCTGTGTTCTCTCCAAGTCATCTTATAGCTTAAGCTGAGTTGAGGAAGTCGGGGGACAGATCCAAATAGCTGTGCTGAGAACTCCAGGTCTGATGTAGTATGGGAACCTTTCTTCACGGCATCAAGCACTCCCTGCGGGCTCACTGGCACTGTCCCTGCAGGAGGAAAGGATGGAAAGACCCACACAGTCAATCCGCCCTTCAGATCTGCTCTGCACTGAGTAGCGTCCTTTGCTGTGCCTCCAGCAAGTGTCCCAGTGTTGAGATCCTTCCTTTGCCTGTATGGCACAGTCAGATACTGTGTGACAAAATGGGTCGCATGCTTCAATTTATCAGATGAGAAACAGTTGGCTTATCTGATGGGATGGTTTAACAACACGGAAATAGCATTTCTTGATGTCCTCACTCAGATGTAAAGCCGCTTTTCCATTTATCCGAAGAAGTCAGGATTTGCAGTTTTTCTCATGTGGATACATTGCATGGTACCTGGCCCCTAATCCCTGTCATGGAATATTTTAGTTTGGAAAGTGCCTCTGAAGATCATCTAGGTCAGTTTCAAAGTTGTATCAGGATATACAGGGCCTTGTCATCCCTAAGGCTTTTATTTCAGAGTGCATCTGAACAAAGAAGCTCCAAGGATTTTCATTAAGAGGATGCATAATGATGTGGTAATTTAGAACAGCACGTAAATTAGGCAAAGCAAATAAGAGGATGCATAATGATGTGGTAATTAGAACAGCATGTAAATTAGGCAAAGCAAAAGAACTACAGATGTTGCATCAGACCCTGCTAATCCCTATCCCCTACACCTACAACACTGGGCTCCAATATCAGTCGCTCTAAAGACACATGTTTTATCAGATGAAAAACATCAGAGAGACTTCAAAATTCATCGAGGTGAATATCTAATTTGCATCCATTTAAATCAGTTCAGAAGTCTCTGTCTTTGGTTTCTTCTAAATTCACTGCCATGATGCATCAGAGTTTTACATTTAGACTATGAAAATCCTGAGGTTGGGGTAGTTTCCATATGCATCTTCAGAGATTAATCACCAGTCCCCTGGCTGACTGGGCTGTTACGAGCAATGCCTGATGATGATTTTTTTAGTAATGCGAAGTTTGGTTTTCAGCAAAGTTACAGATATTCAGCATGTTGCAGATCTGTCCTTGATACCTTGGAGAGTTTGATCTTTGGGATGCATATGAAAATACAAACCCACAGTGTGTTGATTAGCATCACAACAGAATTTCAAGTTTTTCCAAGAAACAATCTCCAATTCAATTCAGTATTATGTGAACTACTTTTGAGGATACAAACCTTTCATAAGTAGATGCCAGAAGAGTCATTAAATAATACAAAAATTAAATATGTCATAAATACAATAACTTGAGGAAATGACATTTTGACACAATGCTTCTTTGCAAAAGGGTGTAAGAATAAAGCATAATATACAGAAATACCTATGACAATTTAAAAACATTAACATTGGCTAATGTTAGTCCAATTCAGAAACGCCAATTTAAAAATACTACAGAAATATATTATAGATGAAGCAGAATGAGGCTGTGAAACACTTTACAAACTCATCCTCAAACTTCCAACTGGTTCATAATCTTTTTCTGTTTTACTTTGATCACATAAAAATATGAAAAAGCTGTTTAGATGAATCTTGCCAGGTTTGTATCATTCTAATTTTTTAATTTCTAGTTTGAGGGCACAGGAAACTACCATCAGTAATTTATTTGTAGCAAAAGTGGCAGCAGCAGCAACGAAATGGGTCCTGGCATAGTTTCATGTGTGCAGCACCAGCGTGTCCGAGGGAGTTCCCGTCTATGGGGAGAAGGGACTGTGTCCTCCATGCTGCCAGCCCTTCCTTGTCAGTGAGGCACTTCACGCCTGTATGGACACTCCTACACACTACAAGTTGGATCAATACCGAAAGCGAAGTGTTAGTTTAGTCAGAAGTGAAACACAAGTTCAACAAACATTCGGAGATGGCATACAAACAGTCCATGACACCGCTCAGAGGTGTATAAATTTTCTATATACTTCAGTGCATTCCAGATTTAACTGCAAAACAAGTAAAATCTACTAATTGTAAAATATCAAGCATTAGAATTGTACATTTTAAGAATTTCAGGACAGTGCAGGATCTTGACTAATACAGTTAGAAGTACTGTCGGTCTGTGTTATCAGGCTGCTGTTTTACCCTCTAACTCTCCCCAGAATGTGCGAGGTAGATAAAGCTGCATACTGAAGTATTAGGAACATTTTCAAGGCTCTTGTTGAAAGACTTCCTTATTTTTAATATTTTCCACTGGTTAACCGCAAACGTTAACAACCGAGTACGTGTATGAGAATCTGAACATGTACCTCCTCAAGAAGTAAAAATTTCAGCCATAAGAATGGGCCCTACATTGTCCTTCTCAACAGGCAATTTTTTTTTGTTCAGCTCAGACGATAAAACTGGTTCTGAATTCATATGAGGAAAGGAGCTATTCCAAAAACTAAGCTTTTAAGATTTCAATGTGAGTCAAAGTAAATTACTTAGTTTATTCCACATGTCCTTAGCAAAGCAATATTTTCACCAATGACACTGGTGGGCAAACTTTATTGTAGGAGACAAACAGAAATAAGAAGTATTGCTCCCATAGTGTCCTCAAGGAGTTGCTGGCCCATGCCTTGTGGCAAAACTTCCTATGGATGTCAGCATGTAAATACTTGTGGGCTGCAGTCTGCAGCCCACAGCTGATGTTGGGAACTTCTTTTTTGTGTCAGCAGCTAACTGCTAGCTGCCACCTTCTTGGTCTTTGCCACTACTACAGGTCTTTTGAATGTCAGATGAATCTGGTATTTCTTTGTTTTCTTTTCTTAGCCTTCCTTCTTGTGATTTTAACGTTTTCAATTTTGTGCTTTCAGTCTTGTTATTAATGGATGAATTCAGCCTGGAGGAGTTCAATCTCCATCTTCTCAGACTCCTATAAAAATCTTTTCTGACATTTTCACTAGCCAGCACATAGATGATTGGATCAGCAACACTGTTTGCAGTGGCTAAACACAGAAACACTGTAAAAACTGAATATATATCTCTTTCGAATGGACATGAGCAATCTTGATGAAACATAAAGTATATGGATCTTATGATGAGTACCACATGGTAGGGAGCAAAGCATATCAGGAAAATTACAATAATGGCGATAGACAGATACTTCACTTTGGCTTTTTGGCTACAAGTCAAGCTGCTGCTTGTTTTTGTACTTTGGAAGATTTTGTAGTTTGTGAAAATGAGGACTGCGAAAGGTACGGCAAATCCCAATAGGAATCTAGCAAAGCTGAAAGAAGCCAATGTTATGTTAAGGGGCAAAGTCTCAAAGCAGGTTGCCATATTAGTACCATTTTGAGAACTATCCACGTGAAATACTGGAGTGTGGATTATTGCAACCACTGCAAAGAGCAAACACACTATTATGATTGCTTTTTTCTGTCCTCTTCTCCCCCTGGATTCCAGAGCATATACCAGCGCCACGTAACGATCCACAGAAATGCAGCACAAAAGCAGAATGCTGATGTATATGTTGCAGAAGAAGATGAATCCTGTTATTTTGCAGGCATTTTCACTCATATTCCACCGGTGCTCATTTTGCACGTAGATAATCCAGAGAGGCAAAGTACTTAAATACATCAGCTCACACAATGACAAACTGAAAATGTAGACGGCAATTACTCTTTTCCTCTGGATTTGTACAAATGTAAGCAGGGAAGTTAAGCAATTTGCCGGAAGGCCTACGGCAAAAACGATGCTGTAAACAGCGATCAGAAGTCTCTTGCTCTCACTGTAGGGAATTTCTGAGCAACTGGAGTTATTATTTATGCCTGTACAATTTTCCATCATTCTTTTTCGAGCTGGTGTTTCCTGGAATCAGAAGACAAGGTGGAAAGTTAGCATTTGCATCACTTCAAAATGTGTCAGTAAAGGTTATGGTCCCAACAGGACATGTCAGGGGAACAAGTGGGATGCTTGTCTCGGGGAAGCATCTAAGACAGGCAAGTTTTCCGAGACCACCTGTAGTCTCCCCTGGGAGTCAGGTTGGATTTACTTCCAGGAAAAAGTGCCTTTCTTCACAAGTAATTCTGGACTACAGCATGCCTGTTCACTAAAACAGGGTATCAGGAACTGTCCCTAAACCAGACTGCCTTATAAATAAGACAGAGCTGCTGATCAATTACTGAATTCACTTCCCAGAGGAAATTGAGGGCATTACTCTTCCATTCTTTTTTTTTTCCTTCAAACTGAGTAACCAAAAATGCAAACAGTAGAGATTTTAGAGGCAGACTTCTAAAAGAAGCTATAATTTATGGTTGGTCAGGTGGGGAAACTGTCTGAAGTGGGTGGTGGTAGCTGTTGTGTCAGAGACTACCCAGCATACAGGAACAAGAATCTGGCCACTGGTGTGTACTTCCACATTGTATTACAACACAGCGATTCAGATCTAGCTAATTCATACTTCTCTCCTCCTTCCTCTTAAAGAATAACTGCAGCTGAAGAACATGAACTTGTAGTGCTATATAACACCCACCATAGTAAGCCAGTGAAACTGCCTACGACATCTGTTTGATACCTCTGGGAAACAAAAGGAAATTAAGGCAGCTAGAGGAAATAAACAAGACCAAAGAGAAGAATATACACATATACAAGAAAATGAACGCTCTTTGAACAGGTATGGTTACAAAAAACCTCCACCTTTCCAAGATAACCATACGCAAGAGCAGGCCTGGCATTTGGTTAGTTTTAAGTAGTGCTAGGAGATTCATTTCTTGCAAAGTCACACAGTGATTTCGATGCAGAATTCTTCTCCAAGTGAAGAGAGGAATATGGTGGTGGGTGCACGATAGTGGTGGTGTGTACCCTTAAAAATTTCTTTGCTGTATTTATGAGTTGAAGGTGTCCGCTTTATAGCATCCTTGATAAAAAAAGGCCTTGTCTGGCCTAATATTTTGGGCATTCTCTTATGAGTTGGACACTTGCTCCAGGGAACAGTCAGCTAACTCCAGAAGGAGGAGATGTGTTGACAGAGATTGATTCCCTTCAGACAGAGGAGAGGCATGAGTTTTCTTGGTCCACACTGTCTATGAGGAATTTCTTTAACCCTGAGTTCACGCAGGAGAGAAGATAGCAGCCTCGGAACACTTACTTGTTGCTTGTTTGGGCTTCTTCCAAGCAGACCATGGGGAAAG